GTGGCAGGCTGTGTTGTGGTGAACCTGCTGTGGCGTAGGAGAAAGTAAGGGGGAAAAGGTCAGCATGAGCAAGATTGACAGCGCTAAGACCCTCCTCCTGGCTCTGATTGGTTGTTTCTGACTGAGTGGTGTACTTCTGCAGTTAGTAGTACGAGCACTGGGAGAAGGCAGATGAGTTTTTTTTCCCACAGATTATCTGTCTGATACTATCACAATGTGATCATAATTTTAACAAGAATGTAAAAAAAAAAAAAAAAAAACACATTTTTTTAAAAAAATTAAAAAATTCAATTTTAAAAGTCTAAATCCTGACCCGTTTCTGGTTTAGAAACATTTAACGTTTTAGACTTTTGGATTTTCGTGTTGCTTAGCGCATCTCCACTTCCACCAACTCAATGACCTTATCTCCGATGTACAACTAAAATATGGATGAAAAGCTTGGAAGCACATCCCACAGGCACCAACATCCACCATGGCCACAGGACAATCATAAAACACAGGGGAAACTTGTATAATAACAGAGGAAGAGAGAGGAAAAAAAAACAAAAAAAGACAACCACCCACCAGAATACAAATATACAAAACACAAATTGAGGGCAGAGCGGCACACTGTGAGCAGATTTCAGCAGTGTCTGTTTCAAAGCCAAACCCCACCATAGGCAGCCTGAGCCGAACATTGTCAATCACTCACCGGGTCAGACGCCAACTGGCATCCAAGAGCTCGGTAACAGCTGTATGTTTCCTTTTGTTTCTCTGAGATCCTGTCCTTCAGCGGCGCCTCGAGGCTTCATGACAGCTCGTATTGATCCACTTCACCATCACTCAGTCCTGACGAATGGCTTTAAACTGGCAATAAGTGGGATCATTGAACCCTCTGAAATTCAACCATCTGATGCGCTACAACAGGCAGGGGCCCCGGGAGACACGGAAGGAGAGACACACTGCTAAACAGATTCCTCTGTTGTAATGCAAAGAGTCCCTTTTTTCTTTTCTTCCTTCAATTTTTCATAACGGGGACGCTCAGCCGAGGCAGCTCTTTAGCTTTATGACTGCCAACGTTCGGAGAAGGAGCCGTGTTCTCATTTGATAAGTGGGACCAGGCGTGGGCTGGTTGTGGGGTTCTCACAATTCGGCAACCTTGAAGCGAAAATGACGCAGCGTCGCCGTTTTTACATACCCCTTTTGAATGAAATTGCATAACATGACCTAGCTGCTTTTAATTAACACAGAAAAACTACAAATCAACCCTAAGCTGTAGCTAAAATAAACAGTTATATTTATTTTGATCTTCATTCATAGAGCAAAGCTAAAATTTAGATTTGGTTGAAGTTTGTCATGGTGCATTTTGTGCACAGTACTACAACTTTTGACATTCTCCTCTTTACAGAGTAACACAAGTGCAACAAACTGAGACCAGCTGGTTAATTAGTCAAGCTATTTGCTCTGGTAGCCACCCTGCAGCCGGGTGCTTCAAAGACATTTCGCTTATAGCTTCCCATCAGCAGTTAGAAAGAAAAAAATTCACATTTTGTGGCAACTCCTCAAGAGATGCCACAAAAATCACTGTCCCTCATTTCTCTGCACACAGAAATATTTCCAAAAAGTTAAATATGTGTTCCTTGTAATTAGGGCTGAAACAATTAATCGGATTAATCCTAATGAATCGATTATTGAAATAATTGTTGACTGTTTTAGTAATCGATTAAATGTCAAGTGGAGTACCCAGTCAAAAATAGGCAATTTGCTGAAAAGAAACCAACATATTCAGAGAAGTAGTGAAGCCAAAACTGTACAAAAAACATAAAAATTTTGCATTTAAGATACATTTTGCATTGTCAGTAAACATGTTCTATCCAGAAATCATTTACTGGAATAGTTTTAGTTTTTTATAGTCTTATTTAAAAAACAAATTGATTTGTTTATTTGCATATTTCTAATATTGCATAAAAAGGCTTAAGTGGTTAAATAAAAAATCAGCACAATGTGCCAATGTTTTTCTCCGATTATTTGATTAATCATCCAAATGATCAATAGAATAGTGGATTACCAAAATAATTGTCAACTGTATCCCTACATGTAATTGATGGCAACATGTAATGGCCTTATTTCAGCCAGCTGATGCACAATGTGCAGCAAGAAGTTGGGGAAAGGAAGAACTGCAAAGCCACTTCAATGTGTTTAATGGAGGAGTTTAAGCCATAAGAAATGAAAGGTGGGGGGTGCTGTGGTCGCGCAGGGGCAAAGCGCAACCCATGTATTGAGGTCTTAGTCCTCATGCCAGTGGTTGCAGGTTCGATGCCTGGCAACATTTGCCGCATGTCTTCCCCCTCTCTCATATCCATCTTTTCTGTCAAACTACTTTCAAATAAAGGCCACTAGAGCCAAAACCTTTTCAAAAAAGAAAAAGAAATGAGAGGTGGGAAATAGTAGAACCAAAGTAAAGACATGAACGTGGCATGAAGATTTAATAACTAAAACTGCAAACATATGGTGATTACAGAAAGAGGAACAGGACATGGAGAACAGGAGAACACCAGTAAAGAACAATGAAAACCAGTGACTTTATGTACTGAGGTGAGAGAGGAGAGTGACAATGAATGCAGGTGAGTTTATCTGGGGCGACTATGAACAACTGTGAAAGAAAGCAAGCAGGCAGACTGAGCGAAGGAGAATAATTAACACAAAGGAAGCTAAGCCAAGCACAAAGAACCGACAAACCAAGGAGAGAAAGGCTAACGCCGATCTGGGAGAAATAAATCCAAATGCATAAAGAACAGAACATAAGTCCAAACTAAACACAATGGAACAAGCTAATACGCCAACAACTTTCTAGCTGTAATGAACACGGAGAAGTGAACTAAATGCAGAAAAACCTTTTGAACATGAATAAAGATCTCAGAAATGATCAAAACACAAAAGCCAAACACCCAGAGATCATAGCTATGACCTTTGAAAGCTTGACATACCTTGGTGAAACAGGCCTATGCCTGTCAGGCATACCTTTCCTTCCTTTTCTTCTTAATTCACAAATTCCCAATATATGAGTCTGGGACTTCTTTTTCATTTATAACATAAGGACGTGCGTATTTAGATTAGGAATTACAAAGTTTAAGCAAATCCAAAAGGCCCAGTTTTTCAAAGCGCATTTCATATCTATTATTAACTACCACAAACAACAAAACCATGACGTTCAGATCAGAAAAACACGAGGCGACACAGCACCTTACGCAAACTATCCCCATGATGAAACACGATGGTGTCAGTACAATGTTGTGGGAATGTTGGAAGGTGTAACACCGAGCGTCCCAGGAGTCGGGGACATCCAGCCCCAGGGCCCTGCATGTTTTAGAGGCATTCCTGCTAAAATACGGCAGATTTAACAAGCCACTTATTTGATTCAGGCGTGCTGAACCAGGGAAAAACCTAAAACGTGGGATATTCATTGCTGAGGACTGACTTTGGACACCATGGCCTACTCAAAGTCCAAGTCGAAAAACCTTGCAGACTCTTTTCACCCAATACAACTGAACCTGAGCTAATCTGCTAAGAAGAACTGCCAAAACTGTCAGTCTCTAAGTCAAATCCGGTAGAGAAATAACCCCAGAAGCAAAACTAATCCTCCAAATCATTGACTTGACTACTATTTACTATTTATTTAACCTGAGGTTAGCTTAAAAAAAACAACAAGTATGTACCAATAAAAAACGCCTACTATACTATTCCATATGTCACACAGCTCTCTCCCTGTATTTGGGCCTAGAGGTTATTCCCCATTCAGGATGCGTTATTTTATTCAGCTAAGAGGTTAATTAAATTAATGTGACAAGGAGACGTTACTGTAAATGTCATTTAGCTGCTATTCAGCATGGCACATAATACATTCAGCAGCTGTGAAATGAAAGCCTTGTAACCAATGAACTGCAAAGCGGAAACAAAATGTGTCTAAAAATTTCTTTAACAAGTACCCTCATTTTGGGAGCAATCACCACACACACACACACACACACACACACACACACACACACACACATAACACTCACGCATGCATACAGACCTGTTGATGTGTGTGCTGCAGATAGCACTGCTCTATACACCACTGATGTGTTATTATGGACCATAATCAAGCCACTAAGTGTAACCCCTGTCACCCCAACTGTTGCTTAACACCCTTATGGGGTGGCATGTTCATCCCTATCTGGCAAAGTGTCTGCAAAAAAAAAATCTGACAACTCTGATGCAATGTTATGCACATTTTTCTTAAAAATCCATCTAGGATCGTTGCAGTTTCTTTATTAAACCGACATGGCAGATGTTCACTTAAAGCCTCATCGGCTGACTGGGGAGAAGAAAGTGCGGACTGCGGACACGCGCTCGCATGTATCCAGGCTGCAGCTGCTGCCACGGCCAGAGGATACACAAGCTGCAATGCGTGTTTTTTTTTTCTTCTTCTTCTTCTTCTCTCCCATCTCCTTTAAAGCGCACCTGAAGCGCAGAGCCTGAGAGAGATCTGAAGGGGTAAGCGCGAGGAGGAGTTGTGTGTCTTTGAGGATGCGGTAGAGAACTGGAACTAGAGCCGCGTGCTCCCGGTAATGCTCCGGAAATCCACTGCCTCACTCGTTTGAGTAAAAACACCGTTTGTTCACTACTCTCACTTTATCTCCGCTTGTTACTTTTTTCCCCCCTCTATGGCAACTCCTGGAGCGTTCGGCAGTTAAGAAATGTAAAATAAAAATACGACACAAGCGGCAATACAAGTCTTCAACAACAGCTTTTTTAGTATTAAACAAACTAGTAAGTGATGCTGAGATTCAAGGGGGAAGCTCGTGCGCATCCAGCACGCATACGCACCAACAACTTCTCCCTGGCAGCTCTATACTCCGCTTGTCCCTCCGTTTTTTTATTATTATTTTTGGTTTGGTTCATTGATTGCTGTGAACGAGTAATTCTCTATCACAAGGCGGCGAAAGAAGGAAAAAATAAAAACCGGGGAAAAAACTCACCTTTGTGAAGAAACGCCGCCAAAATCATGAAAGCAGAGAAAGAAATAGCGAGAGATCCGCTCCCCGTGATCGCCATGTTGGATACCTGCTTGAGACTGGCGGCGCTAAATCACCTAGAGACGGCCATGGGATGGAAATGTAGACACATGAGGGGCGGAGAGAGAGAAAGATAGAGAGAGAGCGAAAGAGAGAGAGATACAGAGAGGGAGGGGGGCATCGAGGGGCTGCTCGCTATTGCATGGGAGCTGCGTTAGGTTGCAATGACACCTAGGCTGGTGTAGGCATAATACAGCGCTTCCTCGTGAGACTTTTAAAATGTTTAAGGTTGTGTTATTGCCTCCTTAGATTGCCAGCTAAGACATACTGTAATTCCCAGTGGGAGAATTGAGGGAATATAAACGTGATTCCATGGGAAGCGTGAAATGCCAAGCAGTGCTGTGAGGTAAATTCACCACAGAGGACCACAGATACTTTATGGTGGCATTATAGTAATTTTCTTTTATGGGTTTTCTTTTATCTTGCTGTTTATTCACATGTGGTAAACCGAACTATGCTCAATTGGCAGGGATGTACTTGTTTATAGTCGCTGCGCAAAAAAAAAAAAAAATCCTCTGATAAAACTGCATTTAATTAGTGTTCATTACGCAGGTGCATGTTGGGAAATTAAAAACATAGTGGAAGTGTTTTTTTTTTCTTCTTCTTCAATTGTTCAGTTCTAAAACAGATTTTTACACACAGTGATATGCTTGTATCACTATGTTATCCATACGATTTTTGGAGGGTCAGAAAGGGCAAGTTGTGTATGTAATCCAAAGATATTGATGGAAAGTTTAGTGGAAGAAAAACATTGGGACGGTACAAAATTGAAAAAAAGAAAATAATGAATACCATTACAGCAATTATGCAGCAAAGCTCATGAAACAGTTTTGGATAAACATATAATATATATGTATATATGATCAAAAAGTTTTTTTTTTATTTCAGCAATTCAAAAAGTGAACGCATGATGATGTACAGGTTTGTAACATATCAGGCATTTCTGTTCATTTTAATGATTGGTTTACAGCTGATTGAAATAAACACAACTCACAACTATCCAGTCATGAGGAAGACGACTAACTAGACTGTTGCTAAGCAGTACAAATTGCTTTGCTAATGAAGATTGCTGTTCCCAGAGTGCTGTATCCAAGTACCTTTATGGAAAGTTTAGGGGAAGGAAAAAGTGGCTGAAAAAGGTGCCGTTTTTGGATTTGAAACGGCACAGTAGGCCAACACCAACAGGTGACATGGCTCTCCAAATCGGCACTTAATGTGAAAACTTTTCACCTGTGCATCTTTCCCTACTATATGTTTTTCTTCCACTCAACTTTCCATGGATATGCTGTCCTTGTGGAAAGGCAAGCTGACTGCTGGGCAAGTTGGTAGTCATCCCCATGAGCAAAGCAAAACTCTTTCTATAAATATTTTAATATTTATGTTTTGAAATGAATTGTTTGAATAAATTATTTTTTTTATGATATTCAAATGTTTCTGCATGCTTATGACTGAAGAGTCTTTAACAAGACAGTTGAGGCTTCCTTTACTAAACATAATCCCTGAAAAGCAATACATAAACAGCTATATGAATTGTATCTAAACTTAAATCCATCAAGAAAATGCAAGTTACTTATTATAGAAAACACATTAAAATTCTGCCAGTGTAGATTTTCAAGCTTAAACTGAATAGAAAACAAAGCATTATTTTGAATACATACAGGTTATGCTCTGTAAACCTCTAGTGAGGACTAATGCTGCTGTTTTTCAGTTTCAATAGGGCTAGAAATCTAAATGATCAAAAAGAGTTACTTATAGTTTTTACCCCAATGGTTTCCATAGAAGTGCATCAGTGTGCGTGTGGGGAAGAAAAGATTTTGAGACAACAAATGTGAATCTGAACTGTCTAATGTGTAACCAGTTGTGTTTGGACCGTTCTTCTCATTTCTGGTTCGAACAGGAGAATTAAATTCCGAGTATTTTTAGTCGGAAAAATACCAATGACTTGTGACGACTGTTGGCATTTATAAGCTCATGCTTCACCTCTCACCCTCTTTCAGGCTGTCCATCATTTATTTATCAGGATTTTCAGCTTTCTATTTTTTATTTTTTATATTTTTTTAATCTGCATCAATCACCAATATTCCTGGATTTTATTTTTTAAAAATATTTTATCCCCACCTCAAGCAAAAAAAAAAAGAAAAGAAAGTTAAGGAATTCTCAATAAGATTGGGAGAAAATCAGGTTCTGCAATCATTTTTTTTCCCGCTCAATGTCTACTCAAATAGCGCCCCCTTGTCCTTGAACCGCGCATTGCGCCTCACAGTTCGGGAATAACATCACATCAGAATGAAACACTCTAGAAAAATCACACAGTCTGAATAAAATATTTCGAGATTACTAATAACTCTCTCTCCCACCACCACGGTGCATTCTTTCTGTGCTTATATTACGTCTCCGAATGTCTCAACTTAATCTCACCTGGAGTACAGGACGACTATCTTATGAGGATCGCAGGAGCCACAGAGAGCCATGCATGACAACGTTGAATCTCATTTCCCCTTTTCATTGTGTCAAAACAGCACAAAGGCTGCTAATTGCACAATCTATTCTCTGAGGCTGCGTGTCAGTCCTCATTCCATGGATGAGTAGATAGCATTTAGAACTTCGCTCTAATGCTGCAGCCGTCCCTATCACTACAGATTGAATTCCACACATCAAATTTATTTCAGATGTTATTATCTGTGGCAGCCTGCCAGTTCTGCCTGCCACTCACACAATGTCTCCGCAAGGTGTTTTCTCCTCGCAGCAGTGGCCAAAATGCTGTATTTTCTGACAGCACATAGCACCAGTGGGTAACCCTTCTCTCTCTCTCTCTCTGCAGAGTGCACCTGGTGGAGAAGTGCTTCAATAAGTCAAAAATGTCATTTTCTTTTTGTGTGTGGGGGGACTTTCTTTTTCTCTCTCTTCTTCTTCTGCAGGTTTGTGATAATTTAATTTGGCGTTTGCTTGATGGTTCACTTCACCTGTGGCTCACCGCCTCTAACCCACCCCCAACTTTTGCTTTCACCCCTTGTCTTTCTATCTCCTTCAGCTTTTCGGTGACTCATTCCACTGCCGAGTGGCATTTCCTTTTCCCTCTCTATATTTTTTTTTGGCTCACAAGGTTTTGTAGGTTTCCCCAGAAACCCGGTGTTTCTGGGATGAATAATGGATGGGAACGGATCGGATCATGACCGAACTCCTTCATCTGGATCTTCCACTGTAATGGCCGCCCGTACGGACGGCCCTGTTGTTTTCGTGACGACGCCCGGGGATGGAGGGCACACTTTTTGGGGAACGATAAACGGTCTTCAAAGAGTTAAAAAGCATAATTTTTCTCTCTTTTTTAGGAGATCTTGGGTATGAGTGCATGCTCTGAATTGTGATGGTGATATTTAATAGGGGAAGCCATGAGCATTTTCTATTTAAATTAGTGCAGAAACGGGTAATAAAAGATTTTCGCCTGGCGCCACTTCTCCGTTAATGTTTGATTAGAAATGCAATGCTTTTAAATTAAGATTTCTTCCCCCCACCCCCACCTTCCCCCCTCGGTATGAAATCAATCAAATTAACGGAAATTGAATTATTTGAGATGGTAATCTATTTAGGCAAACCATTCACCATGAAAATGTTTTCCTCCTGTTTTGAAAGGAAGAATAATTGAATCAGACCCTCGTAAGTGACCCCCAGTGGCTGAAACAGAGCAAGGCGTATTGGAATGAAATATAGGTTCCCCCCCCCCAAATCCCCCCCCCCCAAAAAAAACTCTGAACACATAACTCAACATAAACCAGCAATCCATCCATTTTCTTTACACCCTTGTCCCTCAGTGGGGTCGGGAGGGTTGCTGGTGCCTATCTCCAGCTATTGTTCCGGGCAAGAGGCAGGGTTCACCCTGGACAGGTCGCCAGTCTGTTGCAGGGCAACACAGAGACAAACAGCCACTCTTCCCCCTAGGGGCAATTTGGAGAGGCCAGGGGCTTTTGAATTTTTACTGACCTGCTCTGCCCATCACTGTGAAATCTTTCAGGAGGCGCCAGGCGCCACTTTCCACAAGTCTGTGAAACTTATAGAGATTTTGTCCAAAATATTCGCAGCTTTAATTGTAGCAAAAGGAGTTTCTTCAAAGTAATAACTCTTCTTAAAAACAAAAATCACTGTGGCCACATCAGAAACACTGTACATCACAGCGAACATACCCTCACCAACTGTGAAATATGGTGGTGGCGGTATCATGATGTTGGGATGCTTTACTTACCCGTACCTATTGTTTTTAGTGCTTTTGGTATTTTATGTGTTTTTAAGCTACATTGTTTTATTTTGGGGTAGTTTTTTTTTTTATCTCCTTGCAGTCATTCACCACTTTGAAACTTTTGCTTTCAGCACCTTATAAAGTTATCATTACTTTAGCAGTGGCTGGAGAAGCTAGTCAAATTCTCAAATTTGACCAGGAAGAGAGTCGTCACCATACCTTGATGCTGCAAATATGTTTCAAGGCGAAGATGATAGACTTCAGAAAGCAGTGGAACTTGATTTAATTTTGGTGCAGCGGAGTATTTGGGATTAAATAGCAAATCATACTACCCTCCTCAAATTTTATTTGTAAAACATTTGATTCCGTTCCTCTTCAAAATACTCCACTTTGTGTTGGTCTTTCACATTAGAGGCCAATAAAATGCAGAGGTTTTGTGTTTGCAGCATGACAAACAACAGGTACCAACACTTCTGTAAGGCACTGTACATCCGCCTGGCACACGTGACATAACAGGACAGCGAGCGTCTAGCAATGAACGCCAAAATGTGTTTTTGTTCCCAGCAACGCATCACAATTCGCATTATCACAGCAGCATTTGTGGAGGACGGCATTCCTGCAGTCTCTTTTTATTTTCCTTCCGCAGTAAATTACCACAGGAAATGATACTCCAAATATGCCGCCGCGGGTCATCAATTCTTCATGCCTCTGAGGGACGGAAACACGTACGCTCAGCTGGTCCTCCTGTCTTGTTTCTTGTCACGTTTACGTACATGTATGTGGGGAACGCTTGTAAAAAAATAAAAATAAAAA